CTTCTTTCACTTGCTGTTCGTTTGCTGAATAGGCTGATTGGATAAGGCCTTATCCACATCAGTTAAACTAGAAGGTTCAGATACATCATCTGGGAGTAAATACGCAGGCTTTACTCTGTCAATAGACACAGTGATACCATGTACCAGTGTAAGGTGTATACAACAAGAATTTTATTACGCAGAAAACATGAGAACATTTATCCAAGTCTTTATACACACAGATTTGTTTTTTAGTAGCGGTCGGGCAAAGATGTTCTATATATATTATGATTTAATTTTTGTAGGAAGTCACTCCTCGGAATGTTGCTGTCAGGAGGCATAAAGAATTGTCCCAGATGACGCAAAGTTTGCCCATACACCAGTTCGGCTCGAGAGCAGTTAAGTTCCGCTTTAAAAGTGGTCCGAAGTCGCAAAAGAACTGAAGGCAATGCGATAGTCCAGTGTACATATGTATGACACATTATGGATTGTTTGAGCGATCTGTGCCACTTTTCAATAATGCCGTTGGCTTGTGGGTGGTCTTCCTTTTCAGCGGTGGTATGAGAAAGGTGAATACCAAAGTTTTTGGCTAGTTCTCGAAAGAGGTCACTGCGAAGTTGACTACCATGATCAGTTGTGATGTGGGCAGGCGTACCGAATCTTGAGATCCAGCCAACAGTAGTGGCCAACAGTGTTACGCGTTCTGCAGCAAATGTGCATTTAGGAAGGTTGACCCACAAATTAATGAAGTCCGGAAAAATGGCATAATTCAAATCAGTAGTTGTAGTATGGCATATCAAATAGAAGTTGGTGATGGCAATAATATCTGAGTTCATAGCAATTATTGAATTTAGAAACTGAAGTCAAAAATTATAAATCGCGAGGAGTCCTCGAAAATGATAAATACTTTCAGAGCGTTAGTCGTGCTTCGAGGCAGAATGGAAAGAGACCTAGAGTAGCAGTTAGGGTGTAGACAGGAGCTTGCTATTCCCATCGGCTAGGAGGAGGAGTCTACTTTTTTTAAAGCTAACTTTAATTTACAATCGCTACGGGTGAGGTTCGAACTCGCAATCATTCCCTTTGCAGTTCATCGTCCTGGTGAGATTTGGTAACATAAGAGATAAGGCGAAAGTCATTTGGAAAGGCAGAGTGCTTGCAGCATGTACTCCAGTGACGAGCATTAAATGAACCAGTAGTCCTCCAGATGTGTGTCTTCGGAAAGCCGGACATTAGATTTGCTACAGAATGCACAACTAAGAGATAAAAAGCGGAAAATGTCTCCTTCAAGAATTTCAAGACGCTTTCTCCCGTTCATCTTCTGACGTAGATCGGACGAGTTTAACAGCATAAAATTGATACAGGAAATCATCCACAAATTAAGCAATATCAACAAGACGTCTACCGATTGCTAAACAGGAAGAGGTAAGAAAACTTCTGAAGGATAATGCACGAAGCGACGTTATCGAGCCTTCAGCAAGTCCTCGGGCCTCTCCCATATTCCTAGTCAGAATGAAGGACAGTTTTGTGTTGCTAAATTTTGTGTTGCCTATAGATGGCTGAACGAGGTTACGAAGAAAGAAAGCTACCCTCTTCCTGGAATTGACAACAATCTGAACACTCTCTCTGAAAGCAAATGCTTTTCGACGCTTGAGTTAGGGTGGATATTGGCAGATAGAGATACACCCTGATGACCGAGAAAAGATGGCATCCAGAACAGGACAAGGACCTGAAGGTGATGCTGTTTGAATTATGTAATGCACCAACTTATAACCCATATCGTGGGGGTCGTGTTGAGAGGTCTTTCCTACGAAGCCTGTCAGATTTACTTGGCTGACATCAATATTGCGGCAAAGAGTTTTGAAGAACGTCAAGCAATTGGAAAATACTATTATGATGGTGCTTTAGAAGCTGAAGTAAGCCAGTCTAAAGTTAAGTCCTGCCAAATGTAAATTGTTTAGATAGGAAGTGACTTACCGTGGACATATCATCGCTGCCGAAGGTGCTTATACGGATTCAGAAAAAGTGTCAGCAATTAAAGACTGGAAACGCCTGAAAAATATCCATCAGCTGAGAGGTTTTCTGGGGCTTTGCACCTACTATAGAAGATTTGTTAAGGACTTTTCTTCCTTCGCAAAACCCTTTTACAAGCCGACAGAGAGCAAGCAAAAGTTCCTGTGAACAAAAGAATGTGAAAATGCCTTTAACAAATTGCAGGAAGCTTTAACATCTGCAGCAATCCTTGTATACTCTTAGGACGACAATATTCTCGACACGGATGCGAGCAATGAGAGTGTCCGTGTTGTTTTGTCGCAAGAAATAAATGGTCAAGAACGTGTCCTATAAATAGACCTATATAAGTGCTGGAGGAAATGTCTATCTAAACCAGAGAGGAATAACTGTGTCCCCAGGAAAGAGTTTGCTCGCATTAATTAAAGGTATAAATCATTTCCATCATTATGTCTACGGCAGCAAATTCCAACTCCGCACAGATCACACATCGTTGATCTCGCTTTTAAATTTCAAGAATCCTGATGACCAAATAGCCTGATGGATAGAGAAATTCCAAGAATATGACAGACATCCTTAAAGAACTACATAACAGCCCGACATATGGCCACTTTGGAATTATGAAGATTTTGCATAGAGTTTGAGACCGTTTCTACTGGAGTAATCCAAGGGCTTTCGTGCGAAAGCAGCTCATTAAGCTAGCCCTTTACTATAGCCATAGTACATAGTTTATAAATGTAAATAGTTTAGGAAGAAAATGGTCCTATGTGTAAAAATTTTTAAATTCATACATTTATTTATTGATTTATTGTATTTATACTGAAATTACTATTTTAGTAATGCATTGATTTTCCTTCGTTGTAAGTATGGCTTCTTGTCCAAGGATTGCACTGACCAGGACGTGCAGTCCTTGGGAATGGAACATTGCTACGGATTTTGTATATCTGTAAATAATTTTAAGGAGACTGTAGTAATTTGTGTACAAAAGTGAAATTGTGGTAGTTTTTGCATCATGTAACATGAGATGTTTCAAAGAGACAAAGCCCTGCCGGAAAAATAAGAGTATAGAGGCAAATCTATTTAACATCAAGTAAATGTTTATCCCGCTAAGTTGGATAGATATCGTGAAGCTGATGATGGTTTTGGCAATTAATTTTTTGGCACCAAACTTGATGACCATTTGGCAACATTTTGATCCAGTCACTGTATAACTATAATTGTTACTGTGATTAAATAACTGTTTGCACATTTTACGTCAACAAATCTCGCCAATTCATCGCCTCCTACAATAGCTAGAAAAGAAATCTAACCGGCCTGACGTGAGCAATTACTATAATCCAAAGCTCACAATTGAATTGTACTTTACTTTACTGTAAATATTTTATATGATGTTTTTCTTAATAAAATAATTTTAAAAGAAGCAGTGAAGCTGGTCCGTAATAATAAAAACCCGTGCTATTTTTAGACAGCGCATCTAATATATGCATTCCTACAGATAAAATAAGTGAATGGTTAGAAATAAAAAGGGAAAAAATTAATACACCTATTACAGGTCTTAATTTGGATCAATTCAAAATATTAAATGGAAAGTGAACACAATTATTTCAGATGAAGATTGCACTTTTAATGAACGAGTTGAATTCTTAATTGCAAATAAGATAACAGGATTAACTCCGTTTGCTATGTTAGATATTTCGAAAGTAGAAATTCCAATTTTTTAATTTAGCTGATAAATCATTTTACGAAACCTCATAGGTACATGCCCTTATAAATGCTGATTTATTTTTTAAGGTTTTGAAAAATAATAGGTATAAAATAAATGATGATTTATTATTTGTTCAAAGAATCTGAATTTGGATGGATCGCATGTGGGTAGCTTAACGAAATGCAACCTTCTTATCAAGGACATTGTTTTCTAGTGCAAAATGATTCTCTTCAAGGTATTTTAAAACTTTTCTTTGATTTAGAGAGATTTGATATTCGTAATGATTCAGTTTTGCATGAAAAGGATCAGGCGATGAAATTTTTAATGACACTGTTGAATTTAAAAACGGACATTACATAGTACAACTACCTTTCAGTAAACATTGTAAAGAATTATCCGATAATTATTCCTTGGCGTGGCAACATTTTCAGAATTTGTGGAGATTATTTAGTCATGATCCTGAGTTACATCAACAGTAAATGTGAAATTATTTGTGATTATTTAAAAGAAGGCATAATAGACATCGTAAATCCTGATAAACCAGAAAATGCTTTAAATAGACCTATATATTATTTGCCTCGTCAGGCTGTGTGGAAAGAAAGTAGTTTAACGTCGAAAACTAGTATCGTCTTTGATGAGTCATCAAAATAATGAACTTTCTTTAATTGACTGATTGTAGTCAGGGGTTAACTTAAATCCAAATTTTTTTGACTTAATAATTAATTTCAGATTGAACAAAATTGCATTTTGTTCAGATGTTAAACAAGCTTTTCTGCAGATCTGCCTCTCCGATGAGCATTAGGAGGCAGTTCGTTTTTCTTTGGAGTTAATGATCCATGTGTTGAGTGAGTATTTAATTCATTATGAACTTGTACATATGCAACAATACTTAAGTACCTTAAATAATATGTTATTCTTCAATTGCATTTATAACTGAAGTTTCATCATTTCTAATGATGCTTTCTTTGTATTTCGAATACTGATTTAATTTACATAACCAAATTATTCTCCGGACTTATCAACTTATTCGCTGGACTGAATTACTACAAGTATAAATAAAATATGAACAGTACTTTTTGTTCATTATAACATGGATTATTTGTCTTTCCTCTGTAGGAGTTTTCATGATTTTCGCTATCTGCAACATGTATGAGCCAGTTTCACATAGAAAGTGCTTCAAGAAGGCATCCCTTCCCTTAGGTTATATTTTAGGTTAGAAAAAGCTTTGTAAATTCCTAGAACCATACTTGTAAAATACTCTAAGCATTAAACTTACAAGGATTAATGCAGCTATTAAAAGGACACAATATTCAATTGTAAATATGCCTTTTATTTTGGCATCTTGAGCTCAGTTTCACGAACAGCCATAAAAAAAATAAATAAATAAAACTGGGTATAACAAAATTTATCAGCTTCTTATTTGATTTTTTCCTGTTATTAAATTAATTTGAGAACTAAATATCAACAATTTTATGAAAAGTCAGACATAAGAAGGCACATTAGTTAGCAGAATTTTCAATTACATATCTCTGGAAGAATGACTGATAAAAGTATCAAATTACAAAAGGGGGACCAATTCTCAATAAATAATTTAAAATATAATATGATACGCTTTAATCAAAATCAAAATGTCTTTGACAACATCACTTCAAACCTATTCAATTGTGCAAATGTTCTGAAGCATATAACTTATTTTGGAAAACATAAAAACATAAACATTTCATAGCTGAACATTGCAATAACTAAAAATTTCATAACAGAGTGCTATCAAAATTAAAAAAATACACATTTAATGAAAATAATATACATATATACAAATTTGTGATTTTTTAACAGTATGATACAATAAATATTCAGCTTTTAGTAACACAGCATTCTTGATTAATTTAAATTACATAAAATGCTAGAAGAAATCACTTGCTTTATGTCTCTTAGGCAAATTCAACATAGTTTCTGCATGGGATGGAGTGATAACTGTCACTTTCGCTGTAGGAGTTGCAGGTGACACTGGAGTTCTTATAATATCTGGTGTGGAAGAAGTTACTGGAGTCCTAGCAGCAGTAGGTGTTCTTAAAGGTGAAGGTGAATAGCTCGCCCTTAGAGCTTTATCTGTGTCACGCTGAATGCCTAATTTTGCACATGCCAACCTACGAGCAGCAGGAGACATATACTGCAGCTTTTCAATGGGAGTTCTTGGTGTAGCAGATCCAAATTTGGAGTCGGAGCTGCAAGGAAACACATGAGAATATGCAGTCAGATGATTATAACTCACAATACATTTCTATTAATTAAACATTTCAGAAATAGTTTCATTAAAAAATGAATTTCAAAATGCTTATGTTTCACTTCTTGCTTAGAAACTCGAGTATCCCATCATTTATATCAGAAATAGAAACAAATTAATACCCATGATCCCATTCAAAAGATAACCATATACGTCAATGAATCGCCAAAAATATTCCTTTAAAATGCCAATTCACATTCAAAATGGCAGTCGTAAAACAGAAATTTCAGATGATTAAATTTAAGGACCTTCTACTGATTTTGGCCAAAATTAAGGACTTTTAAGGACCAAAAATCGATTCCAAAAAAATTAAGGACTTTTAAGGACTCTTAAGGACCGTACGAACCCTGCCGATATAAGAATTGGGTCACTCGGTGGTACAGGATAAGCGCTGCTGGAGTGGTTTATTTCTTTCTCATTTAACAAAAATCATTCAATTCAAATATTTATCCTTTGGACTTTGCTTTAAACTTTATTTATAATTAAAATGTCTAGATGCTGTTTTCTGCTGGAACACATTTAATGCAACTGATATTTAAAAAAAAAGTGACAAGAATGCAAAATTTATGCAAGTGTAACAATCTAAAAATCTTAATTTTTCTTATATCAGTACTGAAAACGAATGTAGAAGGAAAGAAGGAAATTGGGCCGGGGAGGGGGAGAAAAAATTTAAAGGGGAATCTATTTCAAGGAAGTTGGGTGTTCAAAGAGAAAACACTTGGACATGTACACCAGCAAATAGCAGCTTTGTGTGTGATTATGGCAAAGCCTCGAGGGCTATCTGCCTTAAGGGAGGGATGCCTTCGTGGAGGACTTTCTAAGGGAAACTGGCTCGTATACACGTTACACATCGGGAAAACCACGAAAACGCCCATGCAGCCAGCCCGTTCGCGGGATTCGAACCACGGACCGAACTACCAGTGTTCAGTGACTTTACCGCTCGGCCGCTGGTGGGCCCAGCAAATAGCAGCAATTGAGTTTGTGCTAATGTTCAGATTTTTGTCATTTTTGTTATTGCAGATTAAAGTGAAGAGTGACTCGTTTTCAGCTATATGGTTGTATAAATTTAAATTACTTCATAGAGCATCATATCGCATCATAAATGGAGCATCCCATGATTTCTCAGTCGAATTATTTCAAGATTATTGAATTTATCCAGTGACGTATATATAGATGTCAGCTAAAGACATTTTTTGCTCTTGATGAAACAAGGCTTTCCTTTCATCTCACACCTTCAAATGCTTCCGTAAAGGCTTGCCAATAATGCTGAAATGGATTGACTTGGATTATTAAGTTATGGCAAAGTTGAGCTATTTGCCTTAACGGAGGGATGCCTTTGTGAAGAACTTTCTAAGCGAAACCAGTTAATATACACGTTACACACCAAAAAAACCATGAAAACACCCATGCACCCAGCCCGTTCGAAGGGATTCGAACCCCGGAGCAAACTACCAGTATTCAGCGACTTTACCGCTGAGCCGTTTGTGGGCCCTTTTGAAATGGAAGGCGATAAATTTATTTAAAATTAATATCAGAAATACCAAGATGTTTCAAAAAATTGGATGCTTTTTAATATACTTGCAAAATGCCTGGGGGGGGAACAAAACAGAGCAAGCCATTAAAAGAAAAGTAAATTTTGCATAAAATTAAGTATTTTTAAAATATTGTAATTTGATTCTTGCGATTTCAAAAATAACATTTGACTAAAATATGAATAGCATTTTAAGAAATTAAATATAGTTGATAATTGTTAAAGCAAGGCACAATGATAAAACTGTTTAAACAATGTGCAAGTCATCCTTGGATATTATTTTTCGGAACAGAACATGAAAGGCGTGTTACTGTGCTCATGTTTCTCTTTAATATACTGTCTTCAAAAGCATATAGTATTACAAAGTGTTATTTGTTCAAACTAGCACTGCCCCTCGGCTCGCTAGTGCCGATGACAGTCTATTTATTCTTCTGCTAGTGTCAGTTTTTTCGTTTTGTGTGGTAATCAGCACGTTAAAAGGATTCCGCAGCAGAAATCATTTTGTGTCTCAATTCGCCTCTGTGTTTTCCTGTGGGTAAAGACACACTTATGTACCACCTCCTACCCCTGGAAGCGGGAAAGATTGAAGAAGGATGGCTGCTTGCCGTAGCGATTGGTATCATGGCTTGTTCGTGTCCTTTGGAGGACCGTATGACCATCTGGTAATCTGAACTTGAGAGTTTGACTAAGATTTGGAGAAGTTTTATATTTGTATGTCATACATATATATATTCGAAACACATTATTCTGTTTTGAATCAGTCGGTTTCAGTCCCCCGCATTTTGTCTATGAGGTGCCTTCTTCTAGGTTTCTCCCACCACCCCAAATTCAAATATAAATAAAATTCTGAAAAATTATTATTTAAAGACTCAAAACCCAGTTCGAATGAGCGAATAAAAATTTTAACTCAATTATTGAAGAGAACTGCACCCCCCCCAATTAAAAAAGGTTTAAAATAAAATAATAATTGACAAGTGTACCCCCTTGGCCAAAATAAAAAATGCACTTTTTTTAAACTGTTCGCATCTGAAATTTTTTTTTCGGAAAACTGCAACCTTACTTTTAAAATAATGAAAAATTAAGAAATCTATAGAAGTTTTTGAAAGACTGTTGTGAATCCCCCCCCCCCACGCCACGTATATACCTAGGTTTGCCAAGCAGTTCGAACTGTAGGCACAACTGAAACCCTCATCACTTGTATGGAAAATTGTATTTTTTCGGTACAACTGTACTTTTTTTAAGGAAATCACAAGCCTAAAGCGAATATTAGTTGGTTATGCTAACCACTACAGCGTTTTTTTTTACTTAAGCTGAACTAACAGCGTTTCAAACGCAGTTACTCACTCTTAATAAAGTTTAAACTAACACACCAATAAACATTGCGTGTGGATCCCAGCTTCTATATATCTTATTAAAACTGCTAACTTATATTGCTTTCATGCAGGATTTTATTTATTTAAACTGTTACATTAAATTGCACCAAAGTGTCTTCTGGGCTATGTAGTAACAACAATATCCCCTTAAAAATGCCTCCCTCAATTTATGGTCCATCACCACACAATCGAAGGATGCAAACATTAAAAAATGTGTAAATGCATATTTAAATGAAGCCATATTTTGCATTTTAACAAATTAACATGAAATATTTTTTATTTAAAAATTATATAGTAAAAAAGCAATCAGTAAAATTACTGATCCTCTTATACCCCATTAGAAATTCCTGATTTTCTGCAGAGAAATATCAACATCACAAAAGAAACAGAACATACAGTTAATGTTTAAACAAAATTCTCAGTACTTTCTTATATGAATATAGCATTCAAGAAGCCAAATTATTTTTAACCTGATAGCAAAATATAATGACCAAAAGCTTGATAACCAAAAGATAGCAAACATAAAAAAAGCCAAATTATTTCTACCAAACTCATCATAGCAACAGAGTTATTTTTATAATTTTAAAGCTGTTAGAACATAAATGCTTATGCTCTAAAATTATGCATTTAGAAATGAATAAACCAAATTAAAAAATGTTTAATATTAATTTTATCATAATTTTACGCAAAATTAATTCATGTAACTTAAAGAACAAAAATAAATACCTCAACAGTCTTGGACTTGCTTTATTAACCTTTCTGTGTTTTTTGGCAGCTTTGTCAGCCAGAGACAATGCAATTTTTTCTCGTGCTGACAGGTTAGGAATTTTAAATTGCTGACCATTAGGATTTTGTGGCAATGGGGTATCACTTCCATCAAGTCGAAAAGGAGTACCTTCTATTTCTCCCCATGTCATTATAGGAGTATCTGTTACACCTATGAACAAAAATTATTTAAACAGTAAATAAAACAATTAAAAAAGATCTCTCTCTCTATATATATATTTAAATCCATTATATTACTTTGCATATCCGTTATATTACTTTGCATATCCATTATATTACTTTGCATATTTTAAAGAGCTGTAGAATTTTATGTAATCATATTTATAATTACTATGTACCTTAATTTGAAGTTGCCAACTTGAAAAAAATATATATTAATAAAAATATATTCAAACCTCTGCTTTATTATAAACTCATGCACATATCAAACAAAATTGTTGGTCCTTCCTATTTCAAATGCATGTAATATCATTTCATATAGTTACCACAGGCCTGCAAACACATGGACATAATTGAATTTATAGGTGAACATTTTTTCCATTTTTGTGATCTTTCCTAGATTATCTGCAAGTTCTAACTATAAAATTACCATTCCTTCAGATCATTCACACATTCGCACTCCAAAATCGGTAGGGCAGACTGGTCACAAAATATTAGGATGGTGATACTGTACCCATTCTTTGCATTCAAGACAATGTCCACTGATGCAGATGCAACAGTTAATTTTTGGAAGATCACAGAAGACAATAGGCATAACTTGAAAAGCATAAATTCAATATCAAAAGCTGATAATGGAACACCTTTCCTATACACTTTTCTTGAATGACAAAATTTTTTTGCTGTCTTCTCTCATTAGTTCACAATGATGAAAATTTATTGCATCGCAAATGTATCCAAACAGTGAACTATAAATAAAGCATTCTGCACTAAAGATATCTGCCACCACTGGGCAAATGTTTCAAATAAAAAGTCAGATGAATCTACCAAAACATTTACAAAAACTTTTTTTTTTTTTTTAAATGGTTTGACAAATTCATCAGACTTAGTCTGAAGCATTAGTCTTTAAATGGCTGTTTTTTCTGGAAGAATTGGCAAAAGCTTTTCAGGAAGAATTTGAGACTATTTTAATGCTTGATGTTAAGATGCAGAGGAAAAAATTATTTTTGGTGAAGTCACTACTATGGGGAAAAAACTGGCATTGCTAATCAAGTTTCGTTGTTCTTACTGTATGGTTAAAAAATAATTTAAAAGCAAAAATAGAAAATCACAGTTCTTGTAGTAATGAATGCCATAAGCCTCTAGTAAATAAGAAATCTCAAAAGACAAGATTCTTAAAAAACATTAAAAGCCTTCTTGTTTTCTCATGAAGTCAATGACAGGATATTTGACAAGTCACTACCTGTTTTAAAGAGCACTGCAGGCAGTGTGAATGCAAAAATAATAAAGCTTTGCAATAACTGATCCACTACATTTATTATTCTTAAAAAAATTAACATAACCACCAACAGTATCAATGCACTTCTGTAAACATGTGGGTACATAATCCACAGTTAAAAACAGCATGGATTATTTCCTCAAGTCCAAAGTTGTGGGATGACTGTACACTTCTTAGGTCAACTCTGTAGGGAAAAGTCACAAATCACAAAAGTTCTCAATTCTCCACCAGTGTCTAATCTTAAGCATGGAATTCCACACTTTGTATCTTGCTGTGATTTTAGTTCTATCTCCCTTGCTATGAAATGAAGGTATCGTTTTACTTGAAACATAATTGGTGAAAAATTAGCTTATGTGTCATAGTAAAGTACAATAAAATATTTTATATTTTCTCCTCAAAAAAAGGTAATGATGAAACACCTTGTAGTATAAAGACAGATAATTTCAAAACTGTTTGAAGTAAAGCTACAGAAGCGGGATGGACTTATGCCCCCCCCCCCCGAAAAAAAAGTGAAGCAACTACTGATTGACAGTTTCAATGCACATGCATAAAAAACCTAACATTGCTCTCCTGCCCTCAGAATGCAACTTCTGTCATGAAACTTATGGATTAAGCAATGAATGCGAACTTGGAACATCATTAAAGAGCGCAGTTCACATATTGCATTTTATAGGGGTATAACAAAGATGCAGATTGTAATATTTCCTTCCCAATCCAATAATGGTAAAAATTACAGGCAACTTACTATATAATCCAACATTTGAAGCCGTTTCCAACGTACTGATCTAGCAAAAGGTTTAATGAGGAAGATGACAGCAAAAGGTCTAAAAAAGGTTTAAAAGAAGGGTTTACCTACCACAAAGTGAGTAAAGGTGAAGAACAGCATTTTAACATTTTTAGAATGTAACATGGAGTTTTCCCAAACACGTGATGATGAGGTAAAGATGCACAAAACTTTCCATAAAAAAGCAAAGCAAAAAAAAAAAAATCTGACAGGCAATCGCATTTAATACACATATAAAAAATTTACACCGGATAATATCAGATTTGAATGATTACGGTAATGAGACAGAAATTCAACTAAAAAATGTTAACATTGAAACTTCATCTAATACTGATGAAGTTAAAAAAAAATGTAGCATATAAAAAGAAAACTTTTCCAACTGCCACAGCAGCAATGCATGTCATTATAAGTTTTTGCCTGTGCAAACTATAACAGTGATGCAGTCATTTCAATTTTTTATAAAAATATGGATAAAACTTTCTTGTAATCTATATTGCCAACAGAAGATTACATACTATTTTCACTCAAAAGTCAAGTAAAAATGAAATTCCTCGTTGTTTTACTTTGTTTTTAGCCAATTTTAATTTCTAATGGATAAAATAATAATTCATAACAAATGAATATTTTAACAGATATGAACCATGATGTGTATAGGTTAAGTACTTTATTACGATAATTATTATCTACTACCTAATATAAATAAAAAATAATAAACTAACATGTATATATATATATTATTGTTAAATTATTATTTAGATCTTTTGGTAGATGTGATAATGTTAATCACTTTTTACGGATTCATCAATCAATTTTTATATCATAGTAGCATGTATTTTAAATAAGGGCAGTTTTGTTGTATACAATAATATGCATTGCGCAGGCAGCAACGAGTGCTTGCGTCGTGTCCCAGAATTCCTTGAAAACAACTGTGCTCAGTTGCAGCTGTGTAGGTAACCTATACAGTCTGTTCTGTGTCTTTAAAATGACAAGATTATCAAATTGCGCGTCCCGTGCAAGGTACGGTCAGTGATATGTTTTTTTGTTGGCAAGAAATCTGTCTATTGCAAACATTCACTGGCAGATTTGTGAAGTTTATGGAGCTACTGCCATGACTGAAGGCAAAGTTAAAAGCTAGCCGTGACAATGTCCATGATGAGTCCCACTGCGGTCATCCATCAGTGATCACAGATGATATGATGGCTTCAGCTGATGCAAAAATTCTTGAGAACAGATGCTTCACCATATGGGTGAAACAAATGTCCACTTATTTTCAAACAAATTTCCTGAAATGTCTAGGACATGAAAACGGCTGTGACCTCTTGGTTATCCAAGTAGGCGGCAAGTTTCTATGAAAGGGGTATCAGAGTCTAGTTCTAAGGGATGACAAGTGTTTACACAAACTTGGCAACCATGCTGAAAAATAGAGAAATGTATGTAGAATCTGAAGATAAATTCAGTTTTTGAAAATTTTCCTTCGTTTGATTTTTATTTTCAAATGGCCCTTACTTAAAAAACACCCCTCGTATTTTTACTATTGGATCAAATGCAGTACACAGGAAATCCAGTTGAAGGTTTGTTACATAATGAGGTTCGATTGTGCATGTATTTAAGTTTTCATTTTGTATTCTTTGAATAATAACAGGCGCTTCATTTTTGAAGTGACTACAATATATGCCTTTGGGCACATTTTGGTGACTAATGCCTAAAAATCAATATGTAGTCACATTACAATTTGGTGAGTGAATGTATTATTTTTTTGTACTTAACCATGATGATGCTGAAGAAGTTATTAATTTCTTCCATAAAAAGTAACAGTACAGAGCATGCTGTAAATAAATAATAAAAATAAAAAAATGTAATGCAACATTAAAGTAAATAAACAATCTAGATTAAATCAAGAGTTTGCACTATTTCACTTACTCATTGGGTTTTAATTTTGTAGCAAATGTTATTGTACTCTAATATAGCTAGATCATTTTTTTTTTTTTTTTTTTTAAGTTTCACACATTTCATATTTTTAGTCTCTACAAGAAAGGTTGGAATATTAGCTAACACTAAAATTTAAAAGGCACTAAGATTATACTCCAGTCTGATTTCGAGATTATAAAAAATAATGTAAATTTTTTACTTTTATATTTCCTTATAATACTCAATCACTAATCAGAGAATTATCTGAAATCTCACAGTTCAACTATATGCTAACAGCTATATACTATATAATTTAATTTAGGAACTAAATCATTCCAAAAATTTATTTGGCTCTTTCTTATTACAGTGGCTACTGAATTTTGATGACATATGGAATTTGGATGCTATAAATTAGATGATAAGTTTGCCAAATTTGGTAACAAAATGCAGTGGCTAACAAGGAAGTACTCAATAACATTTTGCCATTCCATACATTCAAATGTATATTTATTAACTAATTTGATTTCTAATATTTATTATTTTCATTTAATATTTTTAAAACTATTTAGTATTTTACATTTCTGTCTAATTTATTATTTTCACATTTCACATAATTTGGAAAAAAAGTCAAACTAGTATTCAGTGCAAATGTCAAGCAAATTCAAAAATTTTTCATGAAATTTTCATTGAATTTCATCAATGATAAACAATGAAAATGTCATTCGTCCATGACCATGTCTAATGCTTTAAAATTATGATACAGTTTGGAAGCATCAGACTTTCAAATTCTTAATGAACAGTAACTTGAATTCAATCTGATTCTTTAATTTAATATCACTGCTGTAACAACATTTGTATGGGAAAAGGAATGACAAAAGTAGCAATTTAATGCTTTACAACCTTCCCTACTGCTATGCATGAAAATATATTTACAATATAGTTGGTGCAATTATTTAAAATTAATAATACACTCAAGTTGAAAACTTTAATTCAACTTAGATTTAAATTCCAATTTGTATGCAGCACCATTTCAATTTGCCGGGGCATTCATTTATGGGGTTAAATATATGAAAGACTGTGAAGACCAAAAAATTAAATAGAAATCAGTTCAGATTTTAATATTCTTTATTTTAACCAACTAAATATGACACAAAAACATGCATCAGCTATACAAACAACTACCAGTTTACTAGGAGTAGATTAATCAAGCTTTGTCCAAAAGAGAGAAAAGGGGGGCTTGCAATGATGGAAGAACTGCTATTAAAAATCATCAGTGTGAAATAAAACTGTCAATTAAAAATTAGAGAAAGAAAAAGATAATATCATAGTACAGCAGCTGATATCATAGTATGTATGTGTTGAATTTATCTACAACAGTAGGTTATTTAATTGTACCTAATTCAAAATATATAAACAACGTTAAATCATCCATTAAAAGTACACTGCTCAATCCTAAAATTAAATCATACATACAATTATTTATTTTTTGTTATACATCAATTCCCATTAAAATATAAAAAAGCACCAAGTTCTTTAATGAAATTTAAGTTTTTTTTTTTTCAATGCTGATGATGTCTATTCTTCCATTATTTACAATATGTTCTTTTAAATATTAATTTAATTTCCATAACCAAATTAATTAATTCTCAAGATTAAACAGCTTGAAAAAACATCTAAATTGTTTACTGGTATTTTTCTGTTAATTGAGATGTGTGTTATTCTTCATAACTGTTTTTTTAACTGGATTTGAATAAACTACACTTCTGAATGGACACTGTTTCCACCCTAAATTTTTTAGAGATATAGCAAAGTTCCTTTTAATAGAAATATTATTGTTCAAACATACAAATACACAATTTTTGTTAAAACAAAAATAAGTTTAAAAACTGTGCGAGTCTTCCATCATATTTCAGTATGTCTCTCTGCTATGCTGTATAACATGTAGTTATATTATTATAAAATTATCTGCATTATTCTTCCCTCTATTAATATACAATGAAGAATGTACAAGTGAATATACGAGTTAATTGCACAGTGGAAAGATAGTGGCCCCTAGAATCAAGTTTTGAACACAGTCCTGCACTGAAACCTTGAATTTCGAACATTTTTATTTATTTATTTTATGTTTTGGCAAATTAATGAATTTTTTGGACTTTCCCACTCCCAGAGATTAGCATTTTATCACTGCACAATATAAAATTTTATTTCATTATAAACTACATGCATGACTCTTTCAAACAAAGCGTGTTCCACCTCTGTAGGGGGGAAGAAGAAGATAGGAAATCACAGTAGTGGGGGGGGGAAGAGATAAAATTATTTTTCAATAACTTTGTTTTATGTGTCTATTTTGTAAATAAAAAGTTTTGTGACCATTTTAATGAGTTATGTATATCTGCCTCAAAAGTGGCCATGACAGTTAGTAAGAACAACAACAACAACAAACAAACAAAAAAAAAAAAAAAAAAAAAAAACCCACATACCTGGTGCTGGTATAGGTGTACCAACAAATCCATAACCATTAACCTGCGGTGAATCCCCTGGAACAATTTCTTTGCCATCAATGCCCACTCTACCTTCTTTCATTTTAGCCTGCACAGAAGCTGCTTCTGCTATAGCTTCTTTGTTAGCTTGCTCATCAAAAGGTGGAGTTTCAAACCTACTATTATGATGCAAAATCTCTTTTCTGCTTTCATTTGCAAGCTTTTCTTCAGCTGTCAGCTCAGCTCCTATATAAAACAAAAAACACATTTCCTTTGCATCTTATTGGAAAAGTTATGAAAATAATCGAAAATAATCTGACGTGGCCACCAAAGAACCTACCACCAATTGGTTGATTAGAACAAGCTTTAGGAAAACTATCACTTCCGGATGATCGCTTGTGAATAAAATATAATTTGTTCGTAAAATTTAAGGTTCAATGTTAATTACAAACACTGCTCATTTTTTTATTATTCTATTCTTCCAAAAATACAATGGACAATGCTAACTATACCTGTTCACATAAGCATCTATTCGAATCTTTGATTAATTATAAACACCACTCATTTTTTATTATTCTATTCTCTCATACAGTGGATTATGAAAACTATACCTGCTCATGCACATATTAGTTCTCAAGTTTTGGTTTGAAAATATCGCACTGATCCTAGTATATCCTCTGGTCATGTACTGTTTAGTATACTTGTCTTCTGCAGTGGTTTCGACGAAATTTTGCTTTGGTGCATTTCAGCTAATTTATTATAGTACACAATTTCGTTAGTAATTCATTAAAAAAATAACATACATACTGGAAAATTCATTTTTAACAAACTCTTTCTGGTGGCCACAGCTTAGCAGTTGCTGCTAATTATACCTCAAACACAATATCATGACCAACTTGGTGTCTTAATATGAACTCTGCTAAATAAGATTCCAAGTGATGGTAAGCCATATCTCTAGGTTTTCTGTTTCCACATATTACTTGTTTAGCAAAATACAAATCAAAGACAAGAAATTTAATTATTCATCATTTTGAAGACCGCAAAAAGTGTTTAAAATGTCCAAAAAAACCTTGATATAAAGCATTCAATTATCTGTGACATATTAAAACAATGAAAACTGTGCTGAATTGTTGAAAATGCTTCCAAATAACACCAAGAAACTGGAGATTTATCCTATGAAAAATCAAGATCCAAAATTTAGTGCTGTAAAACTTACAGAGTACTTAGAAGAATGGCATAGAATGAAAGTTAATGCTGAAACTGTTAGAAGAGTCATTACAGTATCTGAATACAATGGGTATATGCAGGATAAAAATTCTTCATTAACGAGAAAACAAGGAAAATATACCTGGTGTTCGCAAAATCCACTGCTAAACAAAATTTTATCATACTGGAATAACTTTATATTTGTAGATAAGTCAGTGGAAATATAATGGTTTGGACACAAGAAATCTGATATTTGAAGAAATGAATATGCATCAACATACGAATATAATTATTTTTAATGAAAACTTAAAAGCACCTGCAAAAGAATTTGCAATATAAAAATACTTTCATGGTCTATCAGGAAAATGATCCTAAACATGCAGCCTCAAACGTTCACTTGTGGCTGTAACTGTTCTTAAGTTATCAAAACTCCTTATATTCTCCAGACTCAAATCCTACAAAACATATACGAAATGAGTTGGAGAAAAGAATAGGAAACATAATATTTATTTGAAAACTATAAAAGCAGTTCTGATGGAGGAAGGGAACAAAATGGAATATTTTTGTATGGAAAATGCATGATGGATTTGCCATTTTAACTTTATTGTTAAATATAACTTTCTTCACACTTCCTTCATATAAAATTTCAACAGCAAATTCTCAGAATCTTTCAAAACAGCATATCTTTAGAATTCCCACACAGTTGTCATGAACATCATTGTTAGTTTCAGTGAAAATAATGAGTGATTTGTTAAAAATTAGTTTAGATGAAAGATCTTTTAATATATCGCATTTTAATACTATTTAGCACAGAATAACAGGTTAATTTTACAATACGCAACATCCACAAAATGATCGTTACAATGGAATTCGGTCATCCAGCTTTTCGAACAACAATCTCTCTTGTTGCCATTCCATAAGAGAGAAACTTACCTCTCATAGAGTTTGATCATGATGTGACAACAGTGTTGAGTAATGCTATAATTTTTTTAGCTTGGAAGGGCTATTATTCTCAAACCTCACTTTTGCACCTAATAATTTCTGTTGACTGTTTCACTTGCTGCCTAAAATAGTTACTATAAAAATGAAAAAAATATATAATGCTTTTAATAAATCTAACTAGTGTAATTCCTCAGTTCCATTTGGTAATTAACCCTTACTGCATTATTTGAGATAAAGAACTGCATTTATACTTTTAAATTGCTTAGTTTGTTAATCAATAACAGACAGACTGAATTTTAAAATAAAATTAAATATGGCTTTGCAAATGGCAACAAACTGGCACAAGTAAGTTAAAAATATTCTGTACTTGGTGAAATGGAATGGTGCAGTCCCCAGGGTGCCTGCATCCAAAGCAATATCCCTGTCAAAAAAAATTTTTTTTTTTCTTTAAATCATGTTAGTTCAAAGAAGTCCATTATGGTAAATTCCTGAGTCTATAAAGTAGAAGTTTCACAAGTTTGCATTTTGACAGTAGACATAAGTAATACACAAGCAAAAATGACAATTAATAATTGCTACCCACAGATCTTATTTACATAAAGGGTTGGCCTGGGGCATTTTGCATTGCCAGCATCAATCTATCATTATCATAATTGTTAATACATTCATTACTAATCAAGGAAGATTTCTCAAGGTATTCCTTGACTAACATATGTATATATTTCTAAGCTGAACAACATTTAATTTTTTATGTATTTTATTGTTACAGATATACAAACATGCATTACATATTTGTCAAAGAATATTTTGTGCACACTGTAACTGCTTTCGATTAGTCCAACTTGAGTATGCCTAGGCAGGGCAGGCATAACATCAGATATAAAGACATTTTAAATGAGTATTTTGTTGTCTACATAAAGAGCTCTGTTTTCAGCAATTAAGGGAAAGCATCTAGCTTTATGCACTCAAAACTTCAGAATAATAGATGTAATGTGTGTAGTCCATGTGAAAGTATTAATGAGGATCACTCCAAGATAAAAGACTTGCTTTAGCCCAGGAAAGCATATTCCCATAAGGTTCTAGCCTCCAGTTTATCTTTCTTCTCCTTGCGGTTGCCATCGGCTTTTCAATATTTAATTGTATTTTCCATTTGATTAGTCATGCCTCAAGTACATGAATGCTATTTCATAAATGATACATGACTGGCCTCAGAAATGCATTTTGTGCAAGTAAGGATAACAAGTTTGTGCAAGTAAGGATAACAAGTTTGTGGAAGTAAGTTTGGATGCCTCTATCATCAGCATACACTGCTAGCATAGTGCTTAATTCTGTGGAATGTCATTCACATAAATGCAAAATAGCATAGGGCTGAGAAGAGACCCTTGTGAAATACTATCTCAAATGGCATGACATGTGGAGTGTGTATTAGAAATGCAAATGACAAAGTCTATGCCAGTTAGACAGGATTTAATAATGCTTATAATGTAACACAGAAAACCCAAGCTGTGCAATCTGTGTATGAGTACGCCCCACCAGACACAATCAAAAACTTTGGTTATGTCTAGAAAGAGTTCTCCAATAATTTTTTGTTTCATCCACTTGAGATATACTCCACAACTCTGAACAGCTGGTATGTCATAGAATGCTGGTATTAGAAACCAAAGGAATGAGGATATTACTTTCAGCAATGAAGGTATAAACACTATTTAGTATCACAGTTTACATAAGTTTGCTTGTAAAAAATACCACATTCCTGTATTCTGGTGGTGTTTGTATTTCCTTGGTTTCAGTTCTAGTGTAATCATTGCACTCTTCCAGAAGTTTGGAAAATATTGATGCTTAATAATAATGCTACGCCTAGAAAATCAATGTGAGTTAAAAAAATTTTTTTTTAAATCTTATTGTTGATTCTATTGATCCTGGAGCTTTTTTTGATTCGAAGCTATTTAATACAGTCAAACACTTCTGATGGTAACACTGGAGAAATGTTAAAAATATTTTATACTGAATACCTTTAAATTCCCAATAAAGTGTTAAATGTTGCCAAACACTCTTTTATATTTGTAATATTTCTTTAAAAAAATACATGGAGATAAGACTGGTGGCAACATCCTTTTATGTGTGTTACCACATATTATTTTACATTTTGTTATTATTTCTTTAAAAACAATACATAGTGATAATATTTGGTGGCAACATTTGAATACAGATAAAAATGTGAGGTTTGAAATTAATAGCACCTCTTGTGCCAAAATATCCAAGGACACCCAGAGTTTAGACTTTGTATTGTATTATAAGTAGTGCTTAAATAGTGCAGAAGGTTTAAAAAAATGAATGATGTGAGAATTTATTTATTTCAATTGCATATAAAAAAAAAAAAAAATACATACCGTCTGGAACATACATAAGATAATTTCTGTTTTTATAAGCCCAAGTTACTAGATCTTTATTCTTCCCTTCAATAGACTTCCTTTCAGAAGGAGGTAATGCTATCATGTCTGATAATTTTTTCCCTTCTAGATTTTCATCTTTGTATAACCATGGATATTTTTTTTGGTGCACTTCAGCAGATTTTTGCATGATTACTTGAAATGATGCATTATCTTCACTTGTTGCTTCAGACAGAAACTTATCCAAGGATTTCTTAATTTTTTCTGTTGCAACTGCAATGTTAAATAAATGAATTATACAAATCATGCTAGTATAAAATACAACAAAAAATATAAAATCATGATAAATACATCTCACAATAATACAGGTGTGATTTGACAAAAAATGTCAAATACTAATATTTAATAAATAAGTAAACTACAGTAAGAAAGAACTTGTTCTGAAAGAAAACTCTAAATTTATTTAAAAAAAAAAAAAAAAAAAAAAGATCAAAATTATAATTTATTAACTGAAAACATGCAAATGGATTCTTACATAATGATTAATCTTCCAAACTGAAAACAAAATTACACATACTGTTTATTTGTAATTTACCAGTGCTCAAATTCTTTTACTATATATTAAACACAATAGATATTGAAAAGTCTGATTGGAAGGTTTGCACCTTACAAACTTACTTGTGCAATAAACTAAACTTGTAATAATTAAAATTGTATGAAAGTCTACATACTAGCTAAAATTATTACAAAGTAATAAAAGGGCACTTGTATGCTATAACGGCTTCTGTGAAATTGTACAAGCTCTAATAAAAGCTAAATAATTAAAGTTCCCAAATTCCTCAGAATGTGGAAAATCATCAGTTTTTAACAAACTATAAATGTCACTTTGAAAAATAATAATGTTTAATTCATACAAACCAGTTATCACAGTTTCAGTATCTTCATTGTCATCCTCAGTGTTTCTCACAGGTGAAACATTCTGTAACTGCTCAGGTGTTTCAAATGTAGCAGGTGTTGCAGCTGTTGAAAGTACACAACAAATAAGTCTAATAATTATTTAAAATCACATTATGTGCAAATACCGATGATAAACTTTTCATTTAATATGGCTAACATTTAATAGACATATTTTGATCAGAAATAGTAATGGCATTTTTTTAATTAATTTCTAAAAGGTATTACCTAAAGAATTTCACATACGTTTACTACCAGAAGTCACCAATTTTGTTTTATACCTGATATAAAATATAATAACTGACAGTATAAATTTTGTAGGAATATGTTTTCATTATGTGAACCCCAATCTTTAAATATTCTTATAATCAAAAAAGATAATTCAAAGTGTCAAAAATCCCATAGACTGAGGACCATTCCACTGACTTTTAATACACTAATCTAATTTCCACGCTCACCTGGTATGAACGCCAATGCATCTGTGAGAGACATTTGTTAATGCCATGTGATTGTAGAGAAAACCTATTATAATAAGAGGTAGTAGAAATTTGACTTGTGAAGGTCCTAATTTAGAACAAAAGTACAGATGAATACAGATAGAGCATAAGAGGGACAAGTGTTGTTGCAGAAACAGAGAGAGAAAAATGAAACAAAGTCAATATTTTGTTCTGCACAGTGCTTATGTTTAGTTAAAAATGGGGGGGGTATCCTATTAAAAAAACTGATTGTTAATATGCTAAAATGAAGAACAGATAGAAAAAATTAACAATACATTCATTACAAACAAGTCAATAACCTAACTGGCAATTTAGGGTACTCTTCTGTTATTGGGACCATATTCAGAAATGTATGTATGCATGGGTGTATGAATGAATGCATGCATATATGTAGGTGCATAATGTACATGTCTGTATGTCAAACATACATATATCTGAATCTGGTCCCGATAACCGAAGAGTAACCAATTTATACGGCAAGCCTCTGTAGCAACAAACAAATACACCAAGAAAGAAATCTGCATTATTGGCTTCAGAATCGTGGCATTTGGCTTTAAGGCATGATATTTATTTTCTAAGCAAAAGACCTCTGTTTAACCATTCACATTAATAAACAATGCTGCTGGATATGCTGCTAATTATTCAGTTGAGCAACATATGCACACCTAAGAGTGTAGCTCACAGCTTTAGGATGAATAAATTATTAGGTATCATGTACTTTAACAAAAATGGTACAGGAAAAATGATTATCCTAGGCAATATCAAGTCAAATTTGACTGCTAAGGGTTGCCAAGGAAGACATTCTTTCAAGAACACAAGATTGAAAAATATTATTTTCTTTGTTTTGAAAATTTCCTCTTTCTGTAAACTGGTTTACAACTGAACACAGTGTGATATCTGCATATAAAATATATAGTGCTAATCACAAAGTGTGATATATTACAGGAACTAAATATATTTATCCTTGCCTACTTTTAACCCTAAGATATTTAATTGCGACTGAATAAATCATTAGATTAAGTGCTTTAATACTTAATTACATTAAGTGCTCGGAATACCAGCTTTCTTGATTGCCACCTATCCCACAATTTTAGACCACTCAATGTAACTTAAAGCATTTAAAAAACAAAGCAAACTAGTTTATCGTAAAATTAAACTATGTATTTAAACAGCTAATACAAACCTCTACATGAACTGATTTTACTTCTAGTACTCTGAGTTAGCTGATAAGTTGACTGGATTTCTTGGATTTTTGCAAGATCTCCTTTTTCTAAGGCATCCAGATATTCATTTTGAGCTTTCAGTTTAGGCAAATCAGGAAAAAAGTCTCGGGTGATTATTTTCTCCATTTCCTAAAGGAAAGAAAAAACACTTTTTTTCTCAGTTTATTGTGAACAGAATATATTTTAAATGCACAATAGTCCAATATATAAAACTCATAAAAAGATAAAAATTTTAATTAATGTTATTATAGAAAGCAATCAAAATCAATGCAAAAGTTATTCATATATTATATTATAGTCCGATATATAAAACTCATAAAAAATAAAATTTTGAACGAATGCTATTATAGAAAACAAACAAAATCAATGCAAAAGTTGGTTATTAAATTATGTTCAAATACAAGGAAGTAAAAATTACATCTTGATAAATTTTTCATAGTCTCTATAAAATTCTAGAGATATTTTATCCATATAAACTATTTCCGATTTCCCCAAAATAAAAATAAACTCTACAGCAGAAGAAATTAAATATAAAAAGCAGAAGAAATTGAATCTAAAAAGGAAAGAATACATATAAGAGTGCTGACCGTAGGACATTCAAGACCACAGTCATTTTTACTTTCTTGTACAAAGTAAAGGGATTATATTGTAATCGTGAAAAATTTTGGGTATCTTATTTTAATGAAAATATCCATTTAAACTACTCCCAAAACCATTTGAACAATGCTTTTGCATGACAACTATATGCACAGACAGAATAAAAGACGGTTTACAGCAAAATGGATTCAAAAGAGATTTTTTCTTGATGTTCATGTACGTACATATTGTTATGTAGCGAATTTTAATTATTAATATGTGTTTTAAGTTATTATTATTCTAAAATTTTTATTTGTATTCATGTGTATTTTAATCTGGAAAAAAGTATTCTTAAGCTCTTAAGGTTTTATTTAACTCGTTATTCTTGAGTAGGAATTGTTACAAAGGCGTTGCAAGGAAGGAGACGGTTGCAAGGAAAAACATCTGGTTTATTGGGTTATAGCCTTTTTACTAACAATGGAGGCAGTAGGGTGTTGTGTTGTCGCCTTTTAACTAATGGCGTTTGAAATGGAAATCGTCTTGCTTTCGCTTTGTTAAAGTTGCAGTTTTGCTTACTTCAAGACAGTGTGGGGGGGGGTGTACTAAGTTTAGGTAATTGGATTCTCGTAAAGCTTAGTTTCGCTTGTTAGTTGGGGGTCCATTTTTTTCTCACATTGTGTGTACAGATGTTTTTCGGACTGCATTGTCAGATTTTCTGGTGTTTGATTCGTCATGGGTGTGTCATTTTCTCAGTTTAGATAACGTAAAATTCCGGCATTGGTGTGATTTTAATTTTATGATTTTTGAAAGCCTATGAACTCACACAGGTGGAGAAACTGAGATTTCCTGAGTGCTTGCACAAGGCTAGAGTTCATTATTCTGATTCTGATTTTCATGAAGAGTAAGAGGAGGAAAAGTGGGGGCTTGACCCTCGCGGGTCTTGCTCTCGCGAGCAGCGTATACCAGCGAGCAGCGGATATGATTTTCTCTCTTTTAGCTGGCGAGAATTTGCGTTGGCATAAGGCGTAGAGCTCAGCATAAATTCCGATTCCCTTGTTCCAAGAATTGAAATGCAGATTCTCATTGTGATCCTGATGCGGTGTTCCTGTTTTTTTCCTGACTTTGACTTCCTAATTAGATTCTGTTATAAAGGTGCTCTACGTTTTTGGTGGGTTTCGAGGCTCCCAGAATGAAAGAGACTCGTGTAGAATCCGTCTAAGGTGTTCGATGCTGTTTATTCTGCCTGTGTCAGCTGCGTCGATTTTTCATCCTTCCGTGCTTTGGAATTTATTTATTGTAAGGACAGCTTCAGTGGTGTTTTAATTAAGTCATTTTTAAATTTCGCAAGAAATGTCTATCTCCATTAACGAGGATTTTGTGAATAAAGGACAGCAGGAATAATGTGGCGCTCGAGTAAACTTTGGACGCTAATCGATATGTAGAGCAGTCAAATCGCCTTATTAATCAGTTTACAAAGGTATTCCCGAGTAAAGGGAGTGTGCGGTATGGACTTCACCCCGTGAGTGATTTTTTTTTTTTTTTTTTTTTTAAATTTTTGTTTTACTTTAATAATTATCTTAAGCAAGAGTCGTTATGTTAATGTTTGTTGAAATCTGAGTAATTACTTAAATTAATTAATCGATGTGAAAATTATCAGTGTTCTTAAAGGGAATAAATACTTAAAGTTAGAAGATGAAATGGGAGAAATACTGGTGTTACTCTTATGATACAGTAGGATTTGATAATGTTAATCAAAATTTTTGTAAGCTGTAATTGCGTGTAACATTATGTGTTACTTTTCATAGTAAAAGTATGTTGTAGGATTACTGATCAGTTATCCATTATTTAGTAATATAATAATATCTAAGAATTTAATAAATGTGTTTGTTTAAAATTTAATTGTATTTGTGTATTTATCTTGTGTATAATTTACTGTGGTCTGCCATGTCCCTCCATTTGTTTGAGCCTGGAGGCTTTTAAGAAACATGGAGTTTAATTGAATTTTGGGTTATTGATATTTCCTTTTGCATAGGTTACTCACAACGCGAACCTAAAAGTTAAATTGTACTACCACTATCCGAATGTTTATAAGAATGTCAATATAGATACATGAATGTTTTATATTATTATTATTATTATTATTTTTGAGTTTTGATCCAGCACCATGAATTAGTTTCAGTTAAGTATAAAAAGGTATAAAACACCTAATTTTCAAATATTCAACAATATCTCACATAACTTAAGGATGAGTAGCCGTAGAAATTTTGTATATGGGACTGCTCTAACATGTAGTTGTACACCTTTTTTGGTTGCACCACACACACACACACACACATATATATATATACAGTGGCTCCCAACATTGAAATAGGGATCTATCCATTAATTAAAAGTAAACTTTCTGAATGAGATTTTAAGGTTGATCTTTACATTATGGTAACTTGGCGATTTTTTGGTGAAAATTTGGCAACCAACTCTCCTACAGCAACCCTCTATTTTTTTTCCCCCGCCGCCATTTTGTCTTCACGAAGTAAAGACATGTTTCTTTTCTTTTTATCTACTGAACACTTCTTCCAACAATCTAGTAGCCGAATTACACTTATGCTAGAAATTTTATCAAACAAAACTGCTTAATCATGACAAATATTCACTGCAAAATTGGGAAAAAGTGCACAATACCATACTCCTTACGCGTTTTTCAAAATAACACATACACATAAACCATGTACACGGCGACTTATTTTTACTTAAAAAAAACACATCCCGAATTGCATAAAAATGGCATTGCGCACACTCTTCACTATATCCATGTACACTGCTTTTTTCTCATAAATTAGAAAAATTTCACGAAAATACATGACAATTTTCTCAATCTTTAAACCCGGTAAAAAGAACATATATGAAATTACCTGATCGCGAAAAAGTATTTACCCTTTACAAATATGAACATTTCCACATATAAAATAAATAAAATATCCAAAAATTTTTACCCCTAAATCATCTATTACATTATACACGTCACCAACAAATTCATACCGCAAGCATTACAAATACTTAGTATCAAATATTTAAATTATTTCCATGCACGTTTATTTCAACTCAAACGTATACCAAATTCCTACAAACATAAAATTCACAAAATAATTATCATTTAATTAAAATATCACTAAACCATGTACACATCGACTTATTTTTACTTAAAAAAACATCCCAGAATTGCACAAAAATGGCATTACGCACACTCTTCACTATATCCATGTACACTGCTTTTTTCTCATAAATTAGAAAAATTTCACAAAAACATACATGATTTTTCTCAATCTTTAAACCCGGTAAAAAGAACATATATGAAATTACCTGATCGCGAAAAAGCATTTACCCTTTACAAATATGAACATTTCCACATATAAAATAAATAAAATATCCAAAAACTTTTAGCTCTAAATCATCTATTACATTATACACGTCACCAACGAATTCATACCGCAAGCATTACATATACTTAGTATCAAATATTTAAATTATTTCCATGCACGTTTATTTCAACTTAAACGTATACCAAATTCCTACAAACATAAAATTCACAAAATAACTATCATTTCATTAAAATATAATTAAATTCAAAACACTACTTAAAATATAAATGAGCACATACATTAAATTAATAAAAATTACCTTACAATCCTAATTACTTTAAACTAAATCATTGCTAATAACAATTTTCCCAATAATACCAAATTCCTTTCCACCTTACATTTAGAACAATGCATAAAAATAATATCCTCAAATAATTAAAAATAGTAACTTACCTAATCTTCTTCAGAATCTTGATTACATGGCGGATACACTTTTCTAATTCATTCAATAAAATTATTGAAAGATTTTTTTTGCGAATTTTTCCTCCATACTTCCTCCGCTAAATAAAAAGCAAACTTCTCTTTATCACAATGCCTAAATACCCATTTCGAATTCACTTTAGTTAGGGCCATGGGATCCAAAAATTAATCAACACTGTTTCATACAACACACTATGAAGCTAAAGCTAAAATGCTAAACAAAAAAATTTCCACATTTTTTCCCCGATTTCCCCCCTTTTCCGATTAAAGAACCGTAATTCGTCCATTAATATCATATGACATATCCCATGATCTCTCATTTTCCTCACGCAAAATAATGCGTAATCGGAACTGAGTACTGTTCACATTATTACCAAAGTCCCAGGTAGTAACCTTTATCGCCTCCAAAATGTCGCCAAACTACCAGTTACCATATTGTAAAGATCAACCGATTAGCCTCGAACCGATAACAAGATCTGTAATCTATTCATAACAAAATTACATGAAATATTTTTAAAATATAGCGAAACTTTATTTTTAAGAAATTAATAATAAAAAAATGATAAACATTTTATCTCAAAGTCTTTATACACTGTAATATTTTTGGATAAAATCAAAATTAGAATTGTTGTTTGCCGCTTTTTTTTAATTTTTGCATTGTGGTGGCATTTAAAAAACCGTTTGCTTTAATTTTTTATTGTTTACTTCATAACTTTC